GGGGAAAATGAGAGACATTAAATGCTCCAGCAGTCACAGATTAGATTGAAATCGATCATCTTCTAATCAAATACACAAGTGCACGTTATTGTTCACTTGTACCTAAATCTAATGTGAAATACCAGCCGTTTGGGGGTCTGTGCCATTTCTACTTAGGATGTCTTCTCTTGACAGGTTTTTTTTTTTTTTTAAACAGTCACGTTCATGTGAATTCAATTGGGTGGAATGGAGTTCTGCCACACTGTCACTACACAATGCCTAATATAGAACATATAATCTAAGTGGCAAAGACAAGGCTCATGAGAAAGAGAATCTTCTCATTATAAAATAAGTTATAGTCTATCCTTTTATCTGTTCTCATAGATCTGTCTTTTCTGGCTCTTAAGGCCCTCAGAGAACCTGTATTGGACATGCCAGGACATTGGAGCTATTTAACATAATGTTCAATACTTAGTGGGAATTTATAAATTCAGATATATCTTAATTACATAGGAATTGTTTGGAAGATTAAAGCAATATGGCTTTTTCTTCTCCAATTTGCTCTCTTTTGACCATTTCAGTAGTCTTCCTAAGTAAAAGCAGGAAAAAGGCAAGTAGTTGGGAATTTAATCTTTGGGAGTTGCAAATTAGAAGTGTTTCTTCTCAGCAGCTCCGCTGGTGGACAAGGATGTTCCAAGAAGTGGATAAACTCAACCCGAGGGGCTACAGTGGACTCTGTGGAACCTGCAGCCCAAGAACACAAGACGACGTGGCACATCATGAACAGCGTATGTCGGGAAACAACCCTACTCTCACAATTGATGGATGGTCAAGAGTTTTTCTATTGTAAGCTGAGGTGGTAGAATGGCAGGGCGGGTGGGGAGGGAGGAGGAAAGGGACTGGAAAAGAAAGGTACCTGGGAGAGAAGCGAAGAAAGCTTGTAGACACAGCAGCAGCCAGAAAGAACTTTCCTGGGGTTCAGAGTGTTAGTTATCACCTCTGCCGATAAACAGAGAACAAGACACATCCACATACTGAAATCCAGAAGAGAACAAAACGTGTCGCTGCCCACTGCACTGCTGCTGTCAGGGGAGAGGATCACACGACTCTCAGTTTGACTATGCAACTATTAAGCCTGATGCCCACATTTTAGTTTATAACATCTGGTGCAACGGCCAAGTTCTACCTAAGGGTAAAACAATCTTACCAACTATCTATTGTTAATCGTACTTTTGACAACTGAATTGAAAAAAACAGATATACTGGAGAAAAGGGGAAGGGCTTCCCCTCTCCCTGCCCTGGACAGAATCTCTCAAAGAGAAGATCACTATTAGACAGACAGATTAAATTTGGAAAGTGAGTCTTGACTCATAAAGAGCCTAAAAGATTCCCAAGGAGAGCAAAGGCTGGACTGGGACCACAGAGACAAAATACCTAGAGCTGGGAGCAAACAAGGGAGGAAGGAGGTAAGGGAAGCCAAGTCAGAGCCACAGGCAGAACCGATTGCCAGGGAGCAGGCAGGCCCATTTTCTGACTGCTCTGCAGAAAGTCTGGTTTTATGCTGTCACTGGAGAGCTTTGATTCACCAAGTCCTAAACGGAGATACAGAGGGACAGCCACTGTCAAATGCCAGCAACGTGCTGGGACTCAAAGTCACATTCAATGTAAAAGGACAGTCCACCCATCAAAAGTCCTATCTAGAGGCACAAGGTTTTAGATACATGACCTTACAAGGTTGTTTTTTTTTTTTTAAGTGTAGGAAAAATCCAGTATTTGAAAGAGATACATGTTTGAATTCCCGGGTGATGTGGGGGGAAGCTCATCTCTTCCAATTTTAGTTTTCCATCCATAAAGTGGGGATAATGGTATCTATTATAACTCATATGCCATCGAGGGTCCACTTGTCCTGGGCATTTTATAAGACTGCTTCAGAACCATGTTTTCCTCAGATGTGAGCAAATTCTCAGGAATTTACTCCCCTAGACTCTGCAGGCGCCGGCGGCCTGCGTTTCCTGGTGCTTTCTTTGCTCTGTATATCGTAATGCCAGATGCCGAACTCTGCCTCTTCCAGGTTCCCCAAGCAGAGCACTTAAACCTGGCATTTCCAGAGTTTCACTGACGCTGAACACTTGTGGTTGTGAGTCAGGAACTCATGTGCAAGGTTGTGCTGGGTCTAAATTCACTCCCCTCCTCTCCCTCCCTCTCAGCCCCCTCTTTCCTGAAGTAACTGCAGCTTCCCTACTTCTACAATGCTGCGGAGTTTCTCCTTCCTCTGAAGCCTGAGGACAGAGCCTCAGTCTCTACCTTAACCAATTATCAAAGTATTTTCCCAGTACAAACAATTCTCTCCTTCAGAAAATTCTGGCACCAGCTATTAAAGCTCTTAACTTCTCTCTGCTTCTTCACATGACTTGACTCAACTGCTAACCAATATAAATAAAAGAACATAATAAAGCACTAGAATGATGTCTTGCACATAGTAGATACAAAATATTAAAAACTAATGGCTGCCATGTAATGGTTATGACAACTAGATTCAGTCCCCCAAAAGACCATGCCAGCACCAACCTGGGAGACTACTGGTCAAGGTAATGCCAGCCCAAAGAGAAAATTAAGAAGGTCTCAATCTTCCATCAGAAAACATGATAATCACTAGTCAACAGTTTGTTGACTTTTCACAGCAATACCTCTACCCCTTCCAAATGCAGTCATAACACACAGTTCAACACACAACAACAAAGGCACAGCACCGTGGACGTCTCTTCTGATCATCCCAATCCGTGAAAGAGGGAAATTCTGAGTATTGCTTCTTCCAATCCCTCTGAATTTTAGATGTCCTGCTTCTATACAGATCAGTGATTCCCAACCTTCCTAATGCCACGACCCTTTAATATAGTTCCTCATGTCGTGGTGACCCCCAACCATAAAATTATTTTCGTTGCTACTTCCTAACTGTAATTTTGCTACTCTTATGAATCATAATGTAAATATCTCATACGCAGGATGCATTTTCACTGTTATAAAGGGGTCGTGACCACAGGTTGAGAACTGCTGATATAGATGAAGTTGTGTTTTGTGAAAACTCAAAAGCTCTCTTCCCTTTCAATACACAAACATACCCACCCCACTTAAAAGATGCAGATTCCCAGGATGATGAATCTGATCTGCCTCAGGAAATTCTCCTGGGCTTGGCCTCTGGCATTCCCGGCAGCAGATTTGGCCTGGTAGACTGTGTGCTCTGAGGCTCAGCTGGTTAAGCTCGCCTTTGGGGCAGCAGATTAGAACTTAGTACTTGGGAGTCTAGATTCTAAGCAGTAAAGTACTTTTAGAGCTATGCCAGGCAGTAGTACTTCAAGGCATTTAAAAATTATTTTTCCCTACAATGCCAAGATGTTGGAAGAGAAAGTTTTATGCACACGAAAACACTCACACACATATTGAAAAAGGCCGACAGGGGCAGCAGTAATGAATCAACATTGTGTACACAAACCTGTGGGATTAACAACCACCAGTTGCTACTGTTCAGATGATAAATGAACAGGAAGCTGAATGTAATACAACGTCAATCCCAGACCCTCTGTCTACCCCTGGAGACTGTTTTGATTTGATGTTATATTAGCCTCAGTCTAAATAGAATTCTAGATAATAGCTGATAGGAAAAAGTGAGGATGCAGTCCATTCGAGAAGGATCAAATTCAGGGGCAGCAGCAAAGTCTTCTTGGGACTACTATAAATCGGGCCCAAACGCTTAGAAATGGAGCAAGAATTCTGTGTCTCTGAAAATAGGAAGACACGACACAAAAATGCTTTCTTACAAGTTCACTCACAAGATCCCAAAGAACATTAATTATGTGGAACGAAAAGCTTCAAGGTTCCAGCCCAGTTTCCCTAACAGGGAGACATACAAATTAGTGCTCTGTTTGGGCAGAGCTGTGCTAAGTTGCCCTGGCGGCCTCCTAACAAGAGAAAATCACAAAGACAGCCAGTAAAGGAAAATATTATGTAAAGCATTGCAACCAAAGGCTACACTTATTCATCCATGCTGTAAAGCAGTTAGTTTAACTAAAACCTTCTCTTAAATGCAAAGCCGATGGCCTATCACTTACCTTCCTCAAAGCTGGCATTCTTCTGTCTCACTAAAACACGGAAGTTTTCAGCAGGATTTACGCTTCCAACCTAGAAGATACCCACAGATGATAAACCTACAGGTCATTTCTCTTGTGGGCAGCACCCCAGGCAATATAAGAGGGTTTAATGTAATAAATGTACTTTTATAAAACCAAAGACAAAGAGAAAGCTGTTTCCATTCCTTTTCATTTCCAGGCCACTGTTTAAAGCTAGCAGAGTGCAGTGGTCAAACAGACGCCCTCTGTACTTTCACTTGCTTTTCTTTAAGCAAGCTGATTTCCTTCTAGAGGAGTCAGAAGAGTATTGTGACCTATGCTGGCCCTCAGCCAGCCTGGTGTAAAGGCTTTAGTTAGTACAGACTGCTGCACTTCCTGACACTCAACCAGTGAGGAAGGGGAGGATTCCACAGTGTGGGATCAGTTCAGAATATCGGAATATATTTGTCCACGAGGATGACATGAAAAATAACAGCCTGGTGTTTGAGTCACTGAGTTACTCTTTTGGGGGCACTGCTGTTGACCTTTTGACATTGAAGTTCTGGTAGAATATACATGATAAACATGCCCAAGTTGAACACGTTATCAAAAAATAAAAACAGATTATGTATAGAGATTTACTGCTGCGCTAGGTGGGAAAGTTTCAAAGATCAAACTCTCTGCCTTTTATGACCATATGTCTTTAATCTGCTGGCCCCAACACTAACAAGGCCTAAATACTACTTAGCTCATAAGAAAAAAAAATAATGGGCTTCCAAAATGTACTGCAATTTACAGTTTGTTCTGGTATAGCAAACAGAAAAGCTCCGAGAACTAATAAAATAATGTTGTTCTTCCTTCACTATAGAAAATGTCTAAATGAAATCCAAATCATTGTTCAGATATGCAACTCTGTGGGAATAAAGGCATACTGTAGGACTAGCCTTCCTAACAAATTTTGCTAACAAGGAACAGTGGAGGGTGGGGTAAGAGGCAGGGTCTTGGTCTGTTGTCTGGACTACGGTACAGTGGCATCATGTAGCTCACTGCAACCTCAAACTCCTGTGCTCAAGAAATCTTCCTGCCTCAACCTCCCAAGTAGCTGCGGCTATAGTTGTATACAATGTCTTTTTTGCTTTCTGTAGAGACAGAGTCTACAAAACTGGGCTGGGCTGGTCTCAAACTCCTGGCCTCAAGCAATCCTTCCATCTTATCCTCCCAAAATATTAGGATTATAGGTGTCAGCCACTGTGCCTGGCTAAGAAAAAAATTTTAAGATTCACTGAATTCAAACTAATGCCACTTAAAATAAGGTAATATTTTCAAGCTCCAAAACTCTTTTCATTAAATTAAGATCTCAAGTGTCAAAAGATATTTGGTTTGGAAAAATCCTAAAGTTATAAGTCCTGTTCTAAGGTCAAATATTAGAAAAGAAATAGATGTAGTCTATTGTAGTCCCAGCTACTTGGGAGGCTGAGGCAAGAGGACTGTTTGAGCCAAGTTTGAGGTTGCTGTGAGCTCAAACTTTCACAGCAGTCCTTCTACCCTGGAGCAACAGAGTACAACTCTATCTCAAAAAAAAAAAAAGAAAAGAAAAAGAAACAGAGCTATGCTAACTTAAATTTTATGTACTTGGAGATTAAGACTAACATATTAATCACTATTCTATCATTTTGGCAAAATGGAAAGCTACCAAATAAAGCCAACAACAGAATCTCTATGAAAAAAATCTCCACACTGGGCACTGCCTATGGCTCAAAGACGTAGGGCACCGGCCCCATATGCTGGAGGTAGTGGGTTCGAACCCAGCCCTAGCCAAAAACTGCAAAAAAAAAAAAAAAAAAAAAAATCTCCACACTGAGGTTTCCCATGTTCTATAGATCATATAGAGCTGTATGTACTATGTATCACATGAGGTATTCTAGAGGTAACTGATGGTAATACTTAAAGGAAGAACGGAAGAAGTATAGGGTAGGCCTTTATGGTGTATATGCAGAGATGACCAGAGACAGTGATTATGATATTATTGAAAGTGATATGAATGGACCAGTAAAAACTGCTGCAACCTCCCCCAAGCCCCAAACTTCCGGAAAAGCCCTGCTTACACTGGTGATGTTGCCTTCAGCCAGTCTGGAGATGCTCATGGGGGCTTCCCCGTCCTCAGTCTTGCATTTTTTAGTAGTAGTTCCATCTTCATGGCTAGAAAAGAAAAAATGGTATTTCCCCCCTTAAAGCAAAACAAATAATACAAAATCCCAAACTGCTGTTGTGAACAGGTTAAATTTATTTTCCAAGAATCAAAAATAAACCGCTGCACTTAGCCCTTCTTTGCGAACAGCCTGCCTCCCTTTCCCAGCCAAGGGCTCCTGAGCTGCCTGACTTGAAGGAGTCCTGGCTTTCTTTCCCAGGACTCCAGAAATCAGAATTAGCAGTCACATCACAGTGTCCTTGCCAAGCACAGGGAATGGAGGGTTAACATTTAAGTAAGAAATCCATTCATGCTTTGGAGGTTATTTGCTAGTTTCTGACTCAGAATTGGTAGTTACTAGCCTTCCACGTACACAGAAGACCTTTGAGTCTAATAACCCACCTTCTCTATTGTGTGTATGAGAACTTTATAAGCTTCTATGTACAACTACCAACAACTTACTAGCCAATCCTTAATTAAATATGCAAGAGCTTCCTCTTAGAGAAGTCTTAAACTATTGAAAAAACACTTCCCTCCAAACCATTTACTTTGTTCTTTTATAAATGTAATTCAGTTTTCGGCAATATGTTAACAGAGTCACTAGCACCTGCTGGGAAAGAGGACTCTGAGAGTGTATCTTGCTTCAAGAAACATGCTGGTTTTAACAGCCTGCCTTCAGGTCAAGAGGAGTTCGAGTTAATTGCAAAGGAGAAGGCCTATGTCAAAGCAAAGGCAGCTGGTGAGGCCATTAAGAACTGGCAGTTCTTTTCAGGGCTTACCACGTGTAGTCACTATGCCAAGCACACTTCAGTCATCTCAGTTAAACTTCGTAACAGCCCTATGAATTAGCTATTCCCAGTGTCCTTTTATAGATGAGCAAATTAAGGCTCAAAAGAATTTGATTCCTTATCTAAAGCACACAGTTAGTAAGGGCTCAGAAATAATCCTGTACTCTTAACCATTTTCCCATCCAGCCTTCTGAAAGCGAGGTTCTTGGTATTGCCACTTGACACTAAGTGACTTGCCAATTTCAGTTGCTCTAAGGGAAGCGCATGGGTTTATATCCAAATCTGACTCCAGAATCAATGCTGTTAGCCACTGTACTAACTTGGAGCCAAAAGGATAGATTTGAGATCATTTTAATATAGGTTGGCAAACCAATTAGATACAGAATTATAAAATGGATGTGGATGACTCCTAGGAAATTAGGCATCATTCACTGAAATAGAGAGTAATTGCATGAAGAAGGGTTTCAAAAGAGCGTGGGAGGAGAAAGAAGATGACAAAGTCATTTCTGGACATACTGCACTTGAGAGACCCACAGACACTTAAGCCATCCAGTGGGGAGTTTCTGAGGCCCTATATGTGGACTAATAAAAGATGTCACCTTAGCATTACAAAGGCAAAATGGCATTATGGTTAAGAGTGCAAACTCAGTCAGACTGCTTGCGTTTAAATCCTTACTCCAACACTTATAAACTGTGATACTAAGCAAGTTCCTCATCTCGTCTAATCCTCAGTCTCTTCAGCTTTAAGATGGGGATCAATAAAAGAACCTCCTTCCCAGGCAAGTGCATCCAAGTGTATAATGCATACAAAGTTCTTAGCATCATGCTTGTGTTCTTGTGTTCAGTACATGTTAGACAGCACATGTCCCCATTTCTGAGGACAAGTCCTATAGAACACCAGCACTTGGAGTGATGGTAACAAATGCAGCGCCCAGAAGAATCTGAGAGGGAGTTGTCAGACTTTGCCAACAGTCCAGAGAAGCAAAAGTTAAGGAAGATGTCTGAGTTTTAAGAGAGAAAGAATAATGGAGAATGTCAAATGCTCAGTTCGTGTCTTTTGGAAGAGAATTTCAAGGAAGTGGAGGGGGCAGAAGCCCAAGAGAACGAGAGCAGAGTGGCCTGGCTTCAGAAGGAAAGACGATAGGAAGCTGGGGGACCACTTCATTTTGTTTTAGATGAGTGAAATGTTAACATGAGGAAAGGAGGAGCCGGCAGAAAGGGAGAAGATGGAAAATACAGAAAGAGAAGAAGTTTTTGGTGGACTAAGGTACCAGATAAAATGGACTCCCAGGGTACAGATGAAGGGATTCACTCTAGCCAGGACGAGGTGTCCTATTTTACTGAGACAGGAAAGCAGGAAACAAAGGCACATGCTGAAAAAAGGTATGCTTTTAGATAAGATGGGCCAGAATATTGAGGCTTCCTTGCCTTTTGACCTCTATTTTCTCTATGAAAACATCACCACCACCATCAGTATTGTCACCACTAATGTCCCAGGGACATGACTAGAATTTTAAAAATCATTATTTGCTAGGTCCTGTGCTGGGTTCTAAAGATATAACAGTGAACAGCTTACTATACTGCTCAATTTGCCCCCAGAACAACCCTATGAGACAGGTATTCCTACCATCCCTATTACACTCAGAAGGAAGCTGAGGCTGAGAAGATAAGCCACCCATGCCTAAGTCACACTGCAGAGCTAGAGACCAGGTCACACTGGCTGGCTCTAGAGTCTTATGACTTAGCCATTAACCAAGTGAGGCTGTCTGCTGAGAGTGTGTGGGAGGAGTCTTAGGAGACTTGGAAAGAGCAGAAAATTTATCTGCTTAGAGACAAAGAGAAATCAAGCTCATGTCTGCATCAGTTTCACAGCAAGGTTAGACCCTAGAGGTCCTCATTCTCATGTAAGCTCCCTGTGCAGCAGGTGTTTTTATTCTAAGGATGCACATGTGTACATCAACATTAAAGGAAGCAATGCTTTTATACTGTAAGGGTTAATATTTCGTATATTTGGGGACTACCATACCAAATAGTGCTCTTGCCCTTTTAAAATGAAGAAATCACTTCTAACACTAGGCATTCAACAGGTCCAAGGTGAACACCAGACCTCCTCCAATGGTAGATGTTGTTATTGATAATAATACTATTATTACTTTAGGTTTTGACTATATATTCATATGCCACATGGTAATGTTTCAGTCAACCATAAACTGCATATACAATAGTGGTGCTGTAAGATTACAAAGGAGCTGAAATACTCCCAGAGCCTAATGACATTGCGACCATCATGTCATCCCCGTGCAATGCATTACCGTACCTTCTGTCTTTAACCTATGTTTAAATACACAAATACCACTCTGTTACAATTCAGCATGTACAGCTACATGCCATACAGGTTTGCAGCCTCCTGTATCAGCAGGCTCCGACATCCAGGTTTGTGGGAGTGTGTTCACTCCATGATGTTCACATGGTAATGAAATTGCCTAGTGATGTGTTTCTTCCAATGTATCCCTGTCCAATGAAGCATGTCTGTAGCTCCAAATGCTTTAATATCTGTGATTTTATTGCTCTACTATCTCTTGACAGGAGGCCGTTTTTAGATGAAGAAAATCTCATAAAGGTAAAATTATTTAATCAAAATCAGATCAATGAAAAGTTGGAATGAAAACTAGGGATTCCCAGCTCAAGACTCTCCAGACTATGAAACTTCCTGAACAGACATTTGCCAGCACCTCAAAAATCTTAGCCTCTCATCCCCATCCCCCACTGAAAATAAGTACCCTGGACAGAGGGATGATGAATACATATAAAAATACTGCTAAATGTTAGCAGCTCCCTACCCCCAACCCTTGAAACCACCTCTAAAACTGATCAGCACCCTTATCATAAAACTTGAGGGTTTTAAGAAGCTCGGGGAAGAATGACTGAGGCATTCTTCTTGAATACAGGAGGTACTCGATGAATATTTGCTAAGTGCATCCTTTCTGTAGTGCTTAAAAACTGAGATTTCTGAGAAGAAACGAATAGAACAGGAGTGTGAGTAGGTGTGTGTGAGTGAGATAATTCTCAGGCCCCAGGCAGATGACTTGGCTCTGTTGCAAACCATTATAGGAGTAAAAACCTAGAAGCCTTCAGAAGAGTGAGTGGCAGGACTCAGCCCAAGGTGTAATCACAGCAGGGATCAAATCACAGAACAATAGCCTTCTGAGTCTGTGTGGTGTGTTTTTTTAACCAGCTAATTTACATTTTAATAAAAGGGAAGAGGGAGAAATGGCCCATTTCTTTCCCACAACACCAAAAGGTAATCAAGATCATGAACTAGAGCTTTAATGCATACAGAGAGAACAGCCTTGTGATTGCAATGAGCCTGGAACAGGGGACCATGGGAAGAGAAGGCTGAAGACTTTTACTGAACTGTTTTCAAATACTAATCCAGAGGCTTGCAGGCAGAGAAGGACAGCAGAGAGAAAGTGGATTTGAGGGGACAGTCTTCCCATGTCCCTAAAAAGGCATGACAGACTAAACAGGAATATAAGCCTCCTCAAGGTGTATCAGGAATACACATGATACAATCTAGCAAGTGCATAACGTTTTAAAATTCTGACAAAAGTTGGGAGGGTTAACCTCTAGAAAGCCATAGAAAACACAAAGATTTCTATTCAACTTGGACAATAATTCTCTAAATCAATGATTTATAGAAACTTGTGAAGGTTTCTGGAGATTAGTCAGTACTCTTCCATTGGGGTATTTATACATAACAAACTTTGCCAATAGATACGGCTGTGGGGG